AATACTATTGTGTATTATTTTCAGAGTATTGTGTTGTGTTTTGGATTTATATTAATAAACATTGGTATATTTACCTTTTATTTGATTCCTGGTGTAATGAACGTGGTTGTATTTGCAGATCGTGGAGAAACGAAGTATTAACACTTGATATCTTAGAGCCTTCTGTTAGCAGTCTTAACTACGTACTGTTTGTTCATTTGCATTTTTTTTTTTTTTGTTTAATTAAGGCACTAAGAGCTTAGTATAGATGTTAGTCTAAACTGAAGCTGGATTTACATATTTGTAAATAAGTGTTTATGCTTAATCTCGCATTAGAAGTTTGTAGGAAGTTGTTACCACGTGATCAACGAAATGTTCTCTGATTTGCTGAAAGCTTTTGGCGCTCTTTACGAAAGAAAATTTCGCGGTTTTATGTGCACTTAACTTGTATTCCTACCTCAAATCGGGCGCGGGCCTGATTCTCCTTCTTGTATTTTAAGTTTCAGTTTTTGCATTTTTTCCCTCCTTTTTGGCAAGCAGCCAGTTTTCCCTATTAAAATTAAGGATGCTGTCCACATTATCAGCACAAAAGTTAAACGCTTGTACAAAATCGAGACCAGAACCTCTTACCGAGAATATTAATAAGGAGAACAAGGTTAGTAAATTACTGTATTATTATTATTTTGTATCATCTTATAATATACTTTTATAGTATACACTAGCTTAGTAATAGCAGTACTTGGAATACTTAGTTAGAACTTGTACACCCATATTTAAGTTAGTAAAATTTTATACCCACCCTTTATTTTTCATAAAATTCTTCAACCTCCATCTTAAGTTCTTGTATTGTAAATTACCGGTTTCCACTATGCTGACTGCAGTGTATTTCATAATACACTACGCAGTCAATATGTGTCTTTTTTTTTATTAAAGATTAAACCTGTGTTCTCTTTTTCGGTTTCTGTCAGTGCAGAGTATAGCACAAAGAAATCAGAGGTCATTGTTCTATAGATCCCTTAGATAATCTTATAAGCTTCTTATCCTTCTTTTCTCAAGAGAAAATAAGAGGACGTTTCCTTGGAATTATCAAGAAACTGTCACCATAATGCCACATCGATATGATAAACCTAGATAAGGAAAAATCTGGCCACTGACCCCTGAAGAACTGCAACAACAGTAATAGTAACAAGGGTCTGATTCGAGTGGACTCCACTAATAACAAAACCTTTTTCTATTTCTTACTCAACCACCTAATAATACAATTAACCAGTCCTTTCCTCAACATATGTGATTTTCTGAGCTAATTTTCTGTGTGGCTTGTATTTAAATGCATTTTGAAAATCTAATTATACCAAATTACACTATTGTACAGACATTGAGACCATGAGTATTAATAGTAGGCTTTTAAATTTTAAACTAAAATCAATTAATTTGAAAGCTGAATTATCACAAAAATAGTTTTACTAATGTGGTCTCCTGTAGTTGGATTTGTTTTATACAAGATTAGAAATACTGATTTTGTTTTTTCATCATAACTTATTTCAGGATCCATCTTCATATTTTAAACACCAAATCACAGCCAGAAGAGACAAAGATGTGAGTATTATAATCAGAGTTTGATAATAATATAGTACTGTAGGTAACATTTATTAAACCCAAATGTTACTGATGAGATAGTATATTAGCTAACTTTTTGACAGTCTTTAAATATTTTTTTTCTATAATCTTTTTTATTTCTAACATCTTTTAGTCCAATTTGTAGGTTTCTCAAAGTTTTCAAACGAAAGATACAAAAGTTACAACTGAAGATGCTGAATTTGAGCCCTTGTTGCGAGAAAATCCTCGGAGATTTGTTATTTTTCCCATTGAATACCCAGACATCTGGCAGATGTATAAGAAAGCAGAGGCTTCATTCTGGACTGTAGAAGAAGTTGATCTGTCCAAAGACCTGATACAGTGGGAGAATTTAAAAGAAGATGAACAACACTTTATTTCTCACATCCTGGCTTTCTTTGCTGCTAGTGATGGGATTGTTAATGAAAATCTTGTAAGTTTGCCTCAAGATGATATATTAAACGTAATTACAGTTTTAAATGTGATAAACCTGGTTAAAGTTGATATTTTACTAAATAAAAATGCTTTAATTTAGCTTTTTTTATACAAAGTAGAAAGTTTGAAATTTCTGAAAAGCTTGTCAAATGATGTTTTCTTAATCCTGTGAGTGTGGTGTTCCTAACAGTGTAAAGAATATGATTGTGTATGAAACAAAAGTTAACTTTTTGTAGTTCCTTACATAATTCTATAATGAATTATATATATATACAGAAAAACTGATACTACTTTTATGAGTTTTGTGAGTAAAGATAGTGATGGAGTATGTTTTAAGTTTTTGTTACTGATAACATTATTGGCCAAAATAGCCTTTTGCCATCTTGTTTGTTCTAAGTTTTAAAGTTTGTTGATTCATGTATAATTTAATTATATATTAGAGTACATTGAGCTTTTGAAGACTTGTTAGTTGTATTACCCCTATCTTTGTTGAATCTCCAAGTTCTGGCCACCATGAGTTTACCTGAAACCTCAAACAAGCTGAACAAAGTCTGGACACCTAGGATTTTGTGATGACTGGAAGATTGCCATTTGCATTTCTGTTTAAAAAAGTCTTGGGAGTATTGGTGAAACTATAGGCTTGTTATTGCACTTCTCATGGTTGTTAAACTACTGGAATTCATAAATCCAAGTAATATTTTCATACAAATCCAAGTTAAAAGTATTAAAAATACATATATGAATCCAGTAAAAGTTATGTTACTTGTCTAATAGGTTAGCTGGCCAGTAGAATAGTTTATCCTTGGGTATGATATTGAAGGAGTTTTAAAACTGTTTGGATGAGTATTTCAAATATCTGTGTTGGACCTAAGAAAAGAGGGTTCTACATGTAGCTTGGAGTAAGGCAATAGTAGAAAATGGAATAACCTTGTTACTCCTTGTAGATGATGTGAAAATAATAGAATTGAAAAGTAGCTTGGTGGCAGAAATCAAAGATGCATTTTTCATATAGGGAGAGTGTGACTAGTGGAGCCCCCTTTTGGGGACTTTTGTTATTACTAATCATAAGAATTTTTTGGACAGTAATATTTCCTAATTTGCTGATAACATGAAGATGTTTTCTCTACAATGTAGAAGTTATTTGACTCGGGTGTTCAGAGTTATTGGTTTATTTTGTAGGTGGAAAGATTTAGCCAGGAAGTTCAAGTAACAGAAGCTAGGTGTTTTTATGGTTTCCAAATTGCCATTGAAAATGTCCATTCAGAAATGTACAGTTTGTTAATTGACACATACATCAGAGACCCAGAGAAAAGGTTAGTCTATTCAAAATATAGATGTCAAATTGTGAAAAAAGTCCAAATACAATCCTCAAATTCACTAATGAGTACCACTTGGTAAAAATATTATTTGAGACATGAATAAGTATTGGTAAAAGTCAAATTTATTAAAATTCAATTATTAATCTAGCTGTTAGAAAATGTGAATTAATTTTGGCTTTTACGTATTCACAAGTTTTGCAGAATGGACATTACTGAAATTGTAGTAAGACATCATTGTTTAGCTGTCTTATTACTCCTTTTATTTACTTTTAAAAGTTAAAATCTAAATGTTAAATAGTTATTTACAAAGTGAACAGGTATTTGCATCCTAGTAAGCGAAAAGCAGCATCATAAGATTATTGTATTTGTTACCTATGTTTTACTTTGTGGTCTTAGAATGCATCTTTTCAATGCAATTGAAACCTTGCCTTGTGTGAAGAAGAAAGCAGATTGGGCTCTCAACTGGATAGGTCATCCTACAGCTACTTTTGGTGAGCGAGTTGTAGCCTTTGCTGCTGTGGAGGGCATATTCTTTTCTGGGTCATTTGCATCAATATTCTGGCTTAAGAAGAGAGGTCTGATGCCTGGTTTGACATTCAGTAATGAACTTATCAGTAGAGATGAGGTAAGCCTTCTTTGAAATTATTTATATATATAGATATTTTATACAAAATAATATGCATTTCTTTGGGGGGGGTAGACAATAGTTCTTGTGGTTAACATAACGTTTTGGGACAACACAAGACTTATTGGTCCATCTCAGCTGTTCCATCCTCTAAACTAAATTAAAATATTAAAAAAAAACATCTTAAAGTCAGCCCTTATCA